CCAGGCTTGTACTGGATAAATTTTTAAAAATATTTATTTTTATTTAATGTGTATGAGTGTCCTGCACCCATGTTTTGCAGTGCCTGCAGAGGTCAGAAGAGGGCACTGGATTCCCTGGAACTGGAATTACTGATGATTGTTAGCCACCATATGGGTGATGGGAACCAAACTCATGTCCTCAGTAAGAGCACCCAGTGTTCTTAACTGCTGAGCCATCTCTCCAGTGCCCTATCTACATATTTTACCTGTCTGAGAATGTCCTGTGTAGTGGAGATCATAGAGGGTGCAGTTTTTTCTTAGTAATATGTATTCAAATTTCTCTCCATGGCTTGCTAGCTCATTTATTTGACTCCTGAATACCAGTCCCTTGTTCGGTTGTATCACATTTTAGCCTCTCATTCATCTACAGGAGGGCATTTTGATTGCTTTCAAGTTTTGACAATTATGAACAAAACAGCAGTAAACATCTGTGTGTGAGATTTTGTGAGAATGTGTTTTTTTCAATTCCTTTGGGTAATTACCAAAGGCTGTGTTTCTGGGATAGGATGGTCAGAGGTTGTTCCGTTTTGTAAGAAACTGTCTCTTAGGGTGGCCATACCATTGTGCACTCCTGCCAGCAACAAGTGAGAGTTCTGGTTGATCCACATCCCAAGATGCACTTGGTATTGATGGTTTGCTGGACTATAGACCTCCTCAGTGGTCTATAGTGGTTGCCGTGTTTTCTTGTTGTAGAGTCTACTGGTTTCTTAAGTACCACACCAACTCAATACTTGTGGTAAGGAGCTGCCCTGATATTTCATAGTTCCATCTATAAAAATTCTAACTCTGTCTGTAGTTGTGTTGTCCCCCCGCCCCCATAATTTTTTTGTTTTTGGTCTTTTTGAGACAGGGTTTCACTGTAGCCCCAGCTGTCCTGGAACTCACTATGTAGACCAGGCTGGCCTTGAACTCACAGAGATCTGCCTGCCTCTGCCTCCCAAGTGCTGGGACTAAAGGCGTGCACCACCACCCAGCTGAGAAAGAAATAATTTTTATTTCTTTCCCTAGTAATAAAGAATTTAAAGTTGTGCTTTTAGAATGGCAAAGTCAGGGCTGGAGAGATGGCTCAGCTCTTGCAGAGATCCCTGGGTTTGATTCCCAGCAATCACATGGCAGCTAACAACTGTTTGTAACTCCAGTTCCAGAGGACCCAGCACGCTCTTTTGACCACGTTGGGCACTGCTAGACAGGGGTGTCCCTATCTACACACAAGACAATACACTCACTCATACACATTAAAAAAAAAAAGGCAAAGGCTACCTACCCCATGCTCTAGAAGGGGTCCCAATAGGTGTGCATGGCTGATTCTGTTTGTCAGCTTCTGGATTTAAAGAAGGCTAGGAAAAAAGGGATGAGTGGTTAGTATAGAAAGCTCATCACTTTGGCATTTTTCACAAAGTAGTTAGCTATCACCACAGAATCTGCCAAATAATTACAAATGGTCAGTGTTCACTTATTTAATACTGTATTCAAAATTTTAATAGGTGAAAATGTTGAAATACAAAATCAACAGGTATTAGCTGGGCATGGTGGCACATGCCTTTAATCCCAGCACTTGGGAGGCAGAGGCAGGTGGGTCTCTTCGAGTTCAAGGCTGGCCTGGTCTACATAGTGAGTTCCAGGGCAGCTGAGGCTACAGAGAGACCCTGTCTCAAACAAACAAACAAACAAACAAACAAACTACAGGTATTATGTCAATTGTAGCCTCTCTTGAGTTTTATTTTCTTTGACATAAGGATTTCTTTCTTTTAATATAAAGCAGACTAAGGAAGCATAGAAAGCTGCAGAACAAGAATGGGCATGGTAGTGCATCCCTTTGATCCTAACACTCAAGAGAAAGAGGTAGATGGATCTTTGTTAGACTGAGGCCAGCCTGGTCTACATAGCAAGTTCCAGGCTAGATGGGGCTACTGGGAGACCCAGTCTCTTACAATCTCCCAAAATAAAGAATGGGGGTCATTTTTCTCAGATTTAAAGAGGATGATATGGTCAATAAAACATGTAATATTCACTGCATACAGAAGAAAGCCATATACAGTACTGTACTAGGAATACAAAAGCAATTAAGAATAGCCCTTATCCTCACAGGATTACTCTATCACTATCATAAAAGGTTCCAGGGGCTAGGAATTCACCTTAAGGAAGAACTACTGAGGAAGGAATGGATAATTCCTTGACTGAGTACCATGTCAGGCAACTACTGAGAAACATCCTTAATGATTTAATTCCGTAGCTGGAAAATGGATGAGTCCAAGTCCAGAAGGGGTCCCAATAGGTCTGCATGGCTGATTCTGTTTGCCAGCTTCTGGATTTAAAGAAGGCTAGGAAAAAAGGGATGAGTGGTTAATATAGAAAGCTCATCACTTTGGCATTTTTCACAAAGTAGTTAGCTATCACCACAGAATCTGCCAAATAATTACAAATGGTCAGTGTTTACTTATTTAATACTGCATTCAAAATTTTAATAGGTGAAAATGTTGAAATATAAAATCAACAGGTATTAGCTGGGCATGGTGGTGCACGCCTTTAATCCCAGCACTTGGGAGGCAGAGGCAGGTGGGTCTCTTCGAGTTCAAGGCCAGCCTGGTCTACATAGTGAGTTCCAGGGCAGCTGAGGCTACAGAGAGACCCTGTCTCAAAGAAACAAACAAATAAAAAAGTTACAGGTATTATGTCAATTGTAGCCTCTCTTGAGTTTTATTTTCTTTGACATAAGGATTTCTTTCTTTTAATATAAAGCAGACTAAGGAAGCATAGAAAGCTGCAGAACAAGAATGGGCATGGTAGTGCATCCCTTTGATCCTAACACTCAGGAGAAAGAGGTAGATGGATCTTTGTTAGACTGAGGCCAGCCTGGTCTACATAGCAAGTTCCAGGCTAGATGGGGCTACTGGGAGACCCAGTCTCTTACACTCTCCCAAAATAAAGAATGGGGGTCATTTTCCTCAGATTTAAAGAGGATGATATGGTCAATGAAACGTGTAATATTCACTGCATATAGAAGAAAGCCATATACAGTACTGTACTAGGAATACAAAAGCAATTAAGAATAACCCTTATCCTCACAGGATTATTCTATCACTATCATAAAAGGTTCCAGGGGCTAGGAATTCACCTTAAGGAAGAACTACTGAGGAAGGAATGGATAATTCCTTGACTGAGTACTATGTCAGGCAACAACTGAGAAACATCCTTAATGATTTAATTCCATAGCTGGAAAATGGATGAGTCCAAGAACAGAAAGTGCAATCAGGACAGGAAAAAAGAACAGAATATTAAGTGATGTACAGTCAGTCTGACTAGTATGAGGGGAAGAAAGGAGCTTCTGTAGGAAGGGATTAGTAAATAGGCAATGGCCAGATTGTGGAAGCTCTCTTGAGGAGATTAAGTTTTATATATTTATTTTTCTTTTTGAACAGAGTCTCATAGGCCAGGCTGCCTTGAACACACTGTGTCCTTGAACTTCTGAACCTCCTGCCTCTACTCCTAAGTGCTTGGATTACAAGGAGTGTACCACCACACCCGGCTGTTTTATTCTTTAGATGATGGGACCCATCTATCATGAACAGACTTAATGTGATCCAATCATTAATCTACAAATCACTCAGCAGCGTTAGGGACATATATAAAAGCTTAATGATTAACTAAGAGACCATTAGATGACCAATTTCACAGTCCCTAGAGCAATGAAGCAGAAAGCATAAGGGAAGAGGAGAGACAAGTTAAAGAGCAATAGGATGGTTCTTCCTTTGCCCTCATTTATTTAAAGGAAACTTACTATATTTATTTGTCTGTGTATTTGTGCACACAGTGTTGTGTGTAGAGAGGAGACATACTTTATGAGAGATGGTCCTCTCCTTCTACCATGTGAGACCCTGGGAATTAAACTCAAGTTGTCAGGCTTAGCAAAAAGCACCTTTATCCACTGAAACATACTGCCTACTCTTTTTGTGCGTGTTTGTTTTGAGATAGCCTTGTCTGGCCTGAGACTTGGCCGTGCACTCTCAAAAACCTGCCTGCCTCTGCCTTCCAAGTGCTGGAATTAAGGCATGTGCTATGAGCTCAACTCTAGTCCTCCATAAGAGAAGCATGTGCTTTTAACTGCTGAGTTATCACTCCAGCACAATGATTTTTTAAAAACTAGCTTAAAATATAAACAATTGAGGTGAGATGGCTCAGCAGGTAAAAGCATTTGTTGTACAAACCTAATGGCATGAGTTCAACCTCTATATCCCATGGTGGGACAAGAGAACAGAAAGTTGTTCTTTGACCTCCACAATGAGGACATGGTTCATGCACGCCTGTATTCACACACATCACACACTCAAAAACACACTAACAAATAAATATAAACAGGAATGAGTAAAACAAATGATTGGTTAATAGGCAAAACTTCTATTAACAACCACAAATTTAAACAACAAAACATTAAGGCCAAGTCAAAAACACTTTATAAGCCTCACTCCCAGACTCCACATCCTTTTTTTCACAAAATCAACTATCCAGACTTAAGATATCATCTCTTGGGGCTGGCAAGATGGCTCAGTGGTTAAGAGCACTGACTGCTCTTGCAGAGGACCTGGGTTCGACTCTCAGCACCCACATGGCAGCTGTGAACCGTCCTTAACTTCAGTTCCAGGGGAATCTGACACCCTCCTCTGACCTCCGGGGCATTGCACAACATGGGGGCACTCACATACATGCAAGCAATACACTCATACACATAAAATAAAAATAATAAATAAAATATTTATAAGAAATCATAAGCTGATGGCCCATAGAAATGTAAACAGCACATTAAACATAAGTGGAAAAAAAAGGATATCATCTCTTTGCATTTATTTATTTATTTATTTATTTATTTATTTATTTAACTATCCAAGTGTTTATTCCTGAACACTTTTTAATTTTTTTAGTCTTTTTGAGACAGGGTCTTCCTGTAGCCCCAGCTGGCCTTGAATCCACAAAGATCTGCCTCCCAAGTGCTGGGATTAAAGGCATGTGCCCCCTCGCTCAACTCCAAACACTTTCTATAGATTAGAGGTCATATGCTTGTTCCTAAAGTGAGGGAGGTACAACTGTGAACCCACAGCTCTAACTATATTTGATGTAATTTAAACCATTGTAGTTCCCTTTAAATGATTCCTGTTAATTGTTCCATTTTTGGCCAGTGAAAACCTCTTCAATCTTTTTATTAAAATATTTTATTTATTATTTTTATTTTATGTGTATGAGCATATTGCCTGTATGTAAGTGCACCAGTGTCATGCAATGCCCCAGAGGTCAGAAGGAGGGGTTAGATCCCCTGGAACTGGAGTTATGGGCGGTTGTTATCTGCCTTGTGGGTGCTGGAATTGTGGAATTGAACCCTAGTCCTCTGCAAGAGCAGTCAGTGCCCTTAACCTCTGAGCCATCTCTCCAGTCCATTTTTTTTTTTTTAAAAAACACTTTTATGTATGTTGTGTGTATGTGTATACCTGTGTACCTGTATGTGTGCATATACATGCATGCCGTTAAGCACAAGTGGAAGTCAGAGAACAATTTTCAAAAGTAGGGTCCCAGGGACCGTATTCAGGTTATCAGGCTTGGTAGCAGGCACTGAACTCAATTAATCCACAATGCTAGGCCACTCCCCATGAATCTTTTTTTTTGGGGGGTGTTTTTGAGACAGGGTCTCCCTGTAGCCCCAGCTGTCCTGGAACTCACTACGTAGACCAGGCTGGCCTTGAACTCACAGAGATCCACCTGCCCCTGCCTCCCAAGTGCTGGGATTAAAGGTGTGCGCCACCACTCCCAGCATCCCCATGAATCTTTTGATAGAACCATAGCACTCATTAACTCCTTCCTATGTAGGATGAAAAAAATAATTTATCTTATGAATATCTTCTTTAGAAATATTTCAAGACCAAAACCTAGGTTCATTGATAATGGAGGTGATCACTATTTTCAATATTTTACAGGAAAAAGCTTGGAAATGCATCCCTACGCTCATGATGAGGTTATACATCCTGATGAAATCACTGTTAAGTTGAAAATGTCTTGAAGAAAAAAATGCATTTTCCTTCAAGAATGCTAGGTAAGACCTGCTGAGTCATCTCTCCAACCCTTTTCTTTATTTTTATCTTATGTGTATGAGTGTTTTGTCTACCTATATGGAAGTGGTGCATGTGTGCAATGCCTGCAGAGGCCAGAAGAGGGTGTTGAATGCTCTGGAACTGGAGTCACAGAAGGTTGTTAGCCACCATGTGGGTGCTAGGAACCGAACCCTGGGTCCTCTCCAAGAGCAGTCAGTGTCCTTAACCACTGAGCCATGTCTAAACCTGATTTTACTTCTTTTTCTTACAAGTCTCGTCTCTTAGGCACCTAAAAGATATATATACTTCTCAGCATTTAAGCTATTACTTTGCCTTGGTTTTCTTGGGAGAGTGTCCAATTATATATGCACTTGATCTTTTTGGCCAAACTAGTTTTATTAAAAAAAAAAAAAAAAAAAAAAAGTTTTTTTTCGCAATCTCATTGTAGTTTTTAAAATATGAAGTATCTAAAAACTTAAATTATCTAGGGTTTGCTCAAAACATGGTATTTTGTAAATTTGCTCCTGGCATGTTCAGTTTTGTGTCCAGGGGCTGTGGATGGCTTTGATTTTATCATATAGAAAGTCTTTAAAAAATGATTATGTGAGGTGTGAAAACACTCACCTTTAATACCAGCACTTGTGAGGCAGAGGCAGGCAGATCTCAGTGGGTTCAAGGCCAGCCTGGTCTACATGGTGAGTTTCAGGCCAGTGGGGGCTACAGGGAGACCCTGTCTCAAAAAGACCAAACAAAACAAAACAAAACAAAACAAACAAAAAAAAGGCTTCCATATATTAATTTCTTCACAAAAATAATGGTAATTCATTTGTGACTTTTTTTCATTCAACCTTCATTGTTTTCTGACATCTCGTTTCTCTGTAATGTTAATGTTTTAGCCATTTTCTTAGTAACATTAAGTTTTAAGGTAGATTATAATTCTTACCTTTTTTTAAATAAAAAAGATGGTGTCTGTATGTGTGCATTCCTGCAGAGGCCAGAAGAGGACTTCAGATTACCTGGGCTGGAGTTACAGGCTGCCTTATGTGGGTGTTGAGAACTTAACTCAGGTCCTTTGGAAGAACAGCAAGTGATCCTAACTGCTGAGCCATCTCTCCAGCCCCAATTCTTATCTGCTTTATAATACACCTCTCTTACAGGTGTACTATGCATCATTGCTGGGACATTATTCTCCATTTCCTTTTCTCCAAGAATACAGATTTTAAGAAGAATGGCACCTAGAGAAGCACTTCAGCATTTGCTCTTTCTATGGACCATAGGATTCAATTCTAGAAAGGTTTAGGTATATTTAATAACAATGAATTATAAAATGTTTGGGTCAAGCGCTGCTAAATTTACTCCTTACTACAATGCTGTATGATAAACATTACTATCACTAACAACTTCAGGAAACTTACGACTATTTAGGTCCAGTATGAGCCAAGAAAGGTGCTGACTGCCAAATCTGACAATAAGTTAGATCCTTGGGAACCACATGGTAGAAGAGATTTAGTTTGCATAAGTTGATGCCCACCAACCCATACATACACACACTAAATAAAATGTAAACTCTTTAGGACCTGCAAAGGTTTTGTTAAAAAATAAAAAAGACTAATGTGCCCAAAGTAAAAATTATTATAGGACGAATTACCTCAGTTTAAAATAAAAACTTTCTAATTAATACAAAACAAAATGGTATAGAAAACCTGCTTATATAAACAACTAGATCCCAATAGATTTTTTTTTTCCCCCCTTCAGAGAAAGGGTCTCCTTGTGGCCCCAGCTGCCCTGGAAAGTGAAGCACTTTAGGAGTTTATAGGAGGGAGGATCTCTGAGTTCCAGGCCAGCCAAGACTACATAATAAGATCCTGTTTAAAAAAAACTAAAAACCCCAAAACTCAAGCAAAAAATATTTTATTTATGTCTGTCTGTGGATACCAATGGAAGCTAGAAGGCAATATCAATGGACTGTTTGTGAGCCACCTGACATGCTGGGATGAGAACTCAGGTCTTCTTATAGAGCCTTGACTGCTCTTAACCTCTGTGCCATCGCTCCAGCCTGTGTTTTTATTCTAAAAAATATTTTATTCATTTAACACTTTTTTTTTTTTTTTTTTTTTTTTTTTTTTTTTTTTTTTTTTTTTCTTTTTTGAGCAAGGTCTACTGTGTAGACCAGTCTGGCCTTGAACTCACAGAGATCCACCTGTCTCTGCCTCCTGAGTGCTGGGACTAAAGGCGTGCGCCACCACACCCGGCAACACTTTATTATTTTTATTTTATGCGTATGAGTGTATTGCCTGCATGTGTGTAAGCGTACCTGTGTTGTGCAATGCCTGTGGAAGTGAGAAGAGGGCGTAGGATGCCCTTAAACTGGAGTTACAGAGAGTTGTTAGCTGCCATGTGGGTACTGGGAATCGAACCCAGGTCTTCTGCAAGAGAAGTGAGTGCTCTTAACTGCTGAGCAATCTCTCCAGCCCCTAGCCTGTATTAAAAGAAAAAAACTTTTGTTTACTTTTTTATGTGTATGAATGTTTTGCCTGTATGTGTAAGTGCACCCATGTTGTGCAATGCCTGTAGAGGTCAGAAGAGGGCATCGAATCTCCAAGAACTGCAGTTACAGATGGTGGTTAGCCACCATGTGGATGCTGGGAACTGAACATGGGTCCTCTGCAAGAACAGCCAGTGCTCCTAAACCACTCCAGTCACCATATTTTTTTTGAGATTTATTTTATGTTTAGGAGTGTTATGACTGTTTTGCCTACACATACGTATATGTATTGGGTATGTGCCTGGTGAGGGGAGAAAAAGGGGCTGTATCCCCTGGAACTGAAGTTGAGATGATTGTAAGCCTCCATGTGGGTGCTAAGAACTGAACATGGATCCACCCTAATACCAAGATATACACACAAAATAAATATAAGTTAAATATAATAAAAAAATTAAAACAATTATTTTATAAAATAAAGAGCAAAATCAACACTCTAATGATAAAGGCAATTTAACATGCAGAAAAACATTTACTAGTGGGCCTTTTCTCTTTTTTTGGTCTTTTTGAGATAGGGTCTCCCTGTAGCCCCAGCTGTCCTGGAACTCACTATGTAGACCAGGCTGGCCTTGAACTCACAGAGATCCGCCTGCCTCTGCCTCCCGAGTTCTGGAATTAAAGGCGTGCACCACCATGCCTGGCTGGGGGCCTGTATTTTTAAGAAATTATTTGTTTAGTTTTAACTACATCTAAAAGCTTCAGACTTACAAAATCTTCCTCTTCAAACTGTAACTTTTCCACTTTATCTTCTTTTTTCTCTTCTCTAATCTCTGTAGGTGGCTTTTCTTGAAAGGCACAACCTTTCCGGGAGTGGAAGCTGCCATTCCAGTGTCGATGGTTCCCTGATGCTCCACTACGTTGGCTCACACCATCATGACCCCGGGAAGAACCATGCCAACCAGATAGGTTCCCTGTGATTCCAGCATATGTTCCCTTGGAGACACCAGAGTCCACAGAGTCATGGTGAAATAGGGTGGATTGGTGCCAGGAATCTAAAACAATAAGAAAAAGTATACATTAAATTGTCTCTTTTCTGTAAATTCACAAACAATTGAGCTTGACGCCTCTTGACCTGGTTTATGGCACTGCCCAAAGATCTTCAGGGAATCTTTTAAAAGAAATTTAAAATAATCTTTATTATTTTTATTTTATGTGTACAAATGTATTGCCGGTGCACCTGTGTCATGCAATGCCCGCAGAGGTCAGAAGGGGGCATTTGATCCCCTGGAACCGCAGTTACAGTTGTTAGCTGCCATGTGGGTGCTGGGAACCAAACCCAGGTCTTCTGCAAGAGCACCTAGTGTTCTTAATCGCTGAGCCATCTCTCTGGGAATCTTTTCAATAAATCTACACAAAGAAACCATTAAATACATCTTTTCTTATAAGGCAATTCTCACCACCCCATGTGCAGGGAATCAAACCAAAGCCACTGCATGTATCAAGCTAATGCACTTACCACTGAGCTAGATTCCCAGCCTTTCTAAATGAATTCTTTAACTGAAAAGGTGAATCATGAAAACATAAACACATTAGGCCTAGAAAGTAAAGATGACTAGAGAATCTAAGAATTATATTCAAAACGGGATCCTATTATTTTTAGATAGGGACATAATCCAAGCCTGGGTTTGGCCTGAGTTGCTGCTTAAATATGATCATGAAACTAAAAAATGACTCACCTCCTGTAGTCCGTAGAGGTCCATTGTTAAAAAAGCCATCAGAGGAATTATGTCTACGACGGCTTATTCCAAATCTAACTTCTCCACGGGATAGGTTCTCTCCGTGTTTTTCAAAAGTGGCTGTAGATGACTAATATGATAAAATGTAGAGACAAAAAAGTATTAGTTTATTTCAATATCTTATCAGGTGTTCAAGAAACAAGTAATAGGTGTGGTGCCCGTAATATCAGTCCAAGGCAGACTGAGACAGGACTGCCACAAGCTCAAGGCCAGCTATATAGGGAGACCTTGTTTAAAAAGAAAAAGAAAAAAAAGAAAGCTGGGCATGGTGGCTCACGCCTTTAACCCGGCACTCACAGGCAGAGGCAGGCAGATCTCTGTGCATTCAAGGCCAGCCTGGTCTACATGGTGAGTTCTAGGACAGCTTGGGCTACAGGGAGACCCTGTCTCAAAAAGACCAAAAAAAAAGATATGGTATTATAGGTGTGGAAACATCATATCCACTCACCAGTTTTTCTTTTGTTCTTTCTTGTTTTTTTTTTTTTTTTCATTTAAGGTTTATTGATTTTATATATGTATGAGTGTTTTCCTTGCATGAATGTATGGGCACCATATGTGTGCACAGTTCCTGTGAAGGCCAGAAGAGTATGTCAGATCTCCTGGAACTGGAGTTATAGATAAGTTGTAAGCCAACATGTGGGTACTTGGAACCAAACCCATATCCTCCGCAAAAGTTGTAAGTGCTTTTAATGACTGAGATAACTCTCTAGCGCCTTGTTTTTGCATTTTGAGTCTGATTTTATAACCCAGAATTCACTATGTAGCCCATGCTGCCATCAACTTGTGGTAATCCACTTCCTTTTGCCTCTACAGTACTAGAATTACAGGCAAGAGATGGCAATACTGTAATTTTATATCAGCTCCATTTTACTCATTTATGTATGAAGAAAAAAGGGAGATTAAGTATTTGAATTTACATAAGTTAAAAAAAAAACCTTGAGCTAAATAGGTTAATTCTAATTGCCTTCCTATTCTGAAAAATTTTATTCTGAGTCCTTTTAGGGGGTTATATATGTGTTGGTGTGTGCACATGCACATAGATCCGAGGCCAACATCAAGTGTCTTCCTCAATTGCTCTCTATTTATTAAGGCAGGGTCTTTCAATGAACCCAGAGCTTACTGACTCAGCTAGCTTAACTAGCTCCAGGGATCCTCTTTCCACCTCCCAGTCACTGGGATTATCATTAGGATTACCTGCCCAGGTTTTAAGTGGTTGCTGATGGGATCCAAACTCTAATCTCTGTTTGCACAGTAAGTACTTCATCAAATGAGTCTTCACCCCAACATAAATAATTTAGGTTATTAACTTTACTGGATTGTGGGGTGCCTAGATAACTGGTAAAGCATTCTCTGGGTATGTTTGTGAGGTTGTTTCAGAGAAGGGTTAGTGAACTAAGTAGGAAAGACCTACCCTGAATCTTGCTAGGACTATGTCCAGCATTTGACCCTCTATGAACAGGTACCTTTTTTATTTTGCTCCCATCACCAGTAACATGAGATTCCATAAACTTAGACTTGCATCAGCCACTTTTCAAGGGGCTTCCAGATCTGCTTTGAAACAGGATTGCAAAAGACCCACATAAAGTACCAGATATGGACGCAGGGACACCTATAACCCCAGAACCATAAGAGGTAGAGACAGGAGGATTGCTGGGGCTTACTGGGTGGCAGCTAGCTCTAGCTTCAGTAAGAAATCTTGCTTCAAGGGAATAAGGTAGGGAGCAAGACACTTGATTTCTTCCGTCCTCACAGTATAGGCCACACATACATATACTGCCCACACCCCAAAAAACTTCAATAATAGTTGATGGTATCAATCATTTTACCCATTTTAGTGGGTTACAAAGGTCTTCTCCTATACTTTTTCTAAGTTCTTTGGTTTTAGCTTTTTCAAAGAATTTTATTTATTTTTATTTTATGTGTCTGAGTATATTGCCCACATGTGTTTAAGTGCACCGCTGCTATGTAATGCTCAGAGGACAGAGAGGGCATCGAGTTCCCTGGAACTGGAGTTATGGACAGTTGTTAGCCACCATATGGGTGCTGGGAATCGAATCAGGGTCCTCTGCAAGAGCAGCCAATGCTCTTAACTGCTGAGCTATTTCTCCAGCCCCTGGTTTATTTATTTTTTTATGTGTATTAGTGTTATGCCTGCATATGTGTAAGCGCATCCCTCAGAGGACAGAAGAGGGTGCGTCAGATCCCCTGGAACTGGAGTTATAGACAGTTGTTAGCTGCCATGTGGGTGCTGGTATTCGTACCCAGGTCCTCTGCAAGAGCAGCCAGTGGTCTTAACTGCTGAGGCATCTCTCCAGTCCTGGTTTTAGCTTTTTAAACTTATCACTTCCCCCATTAAATTATCTTGACAATGGAGTCAAAAGTCAACATTTAAAAAAAAATTTTTATTTATTTTTATTTTATGTGTATGAGTGTATTGCCTGCATGTATGTGAATGCACCCGTGTCACGCAATGCTGCGGAGGTCAGAAGAGGGCTTCAGATTCCCTTGGAACTGGAGTTAAGGACGGTTCGTAGCAGCCACGTAGGTGCTGGGAATGAACCCAGGTCCTCTGCAAGAGCAGTCAGTGCTCTTAACTGCTAAGCCATCTCTCCAGCCCCAAGTTATTTATTTCTTAATTTATGTCTGTGTGCCCATGTGAGTTTCTGTGCACCACCTGCATGTAGGTGCCAGCACAGATCAGAAGAGGGTGTTAGATCCGCTGGAACTGGAGTTGGCAACCATGACGTAGGTGCTGTGATCCAAATCTAGGTCCTCTGCAAGAAGAGTAAAAGTGTTCTTAACTGCTGAACCATCTCTCCAATCCCTTTAATTATTTGACTTTATTCATTATACTAAAACAATCATTTGCTTTTTAAAATGTTTTTCTGGATCCAACCACAATCCATGGGTCAGATAAGGCTAATTATGAGACCTTAGGAATCTCATGAAGAAAATTCAAAGTGCAATTTTAAAGAAAAGGTTGTTGGTCTAGATGAGACCATAAACATTCCCCCAAATTGACATCTAAAAATAGAAAATACAGGCTGGACAAATGGCTCGGTGGTTAGAAGTGGTTTTACTTCTTGCAAAGGACCCAAATTCAGTTATGAGCACCAACATTAAGTGGCTTACAACCATCCATAACTCCAGTTCTAGGGATTCCAACACCTTCTGGTGGCCTTTGTGAGCATACACTTTATTTTTTTTATTTTTTTGGTCTTTTTGAGACAGGGTCTCCCTGTAGCCCCAGCTGTCCTGGAACTATGTAGACCAGACTGGCCTTGAACTCACAGAGACCCACCTGCCTCTGCCTCCCGAGTGCTGGGATTAAAGGTGTGCCACCACGCCTGGCATGAGCATGCACTTAAAAAAAAAAAACAAGAGCCAGGCATGGTGGTAATTCTAGTACTCAGGGAGTAGAAGCAGTATTTTCACCACATAGGAAGTTCCAGGCCAGCAAGGGCCATGAAGTACGACCACGTCTCAAAAACACCAAAGAAAACATACCAGAAAAACTACTGGGCTATGAATATAGCTTAGTAGTAGAATGTTTGTCTACTGTGTGCAAGGCCTTGTGTTCAACTCAATAAAACCAACCAACCAAAAAACACAAAACAAGCTGGGCACACTTAAATCCCAGCATGTGGGAGGCAGAGGTAGGAGATCTCTGACAACCAGGGACAGCCTGGTCTACCTAGCAAGTTCCGGGATGGCTGGCGCTACAGGAAAACCCTGACTCAAAAATACCAAAACCAAAAAAGCCTTATTAGTCAGGTGTAGTGGATTTATGTCTGTTACCTTAGAACTCAAGAAGCAGAGAAAGAAGGGTCATGATAAAGTTCAAGGCCAGCCTGGTCTACATAGTGAATTCTGGGTTAGCCAGGGCTATAAAGACCCTGTCTCGGGCTGGAGAGATGGCTCAGCAGTTAAAAACACTGGTTGTTCTTGCAGAAGACCCAAGTTTGAATCCCATCACCCACATGGCAGCTAACAACTATCTGTAACTCCAGTTCCAGGGGATCCGACAGCCTCTTCTGTCCTATTGCATGGCATGGGTGCACTTACCTACATGCAGGCACACATAAAATAAAAATAATAAACAAAATATTAAAAAAAAAAAAAGACCCTGTCTCAGTATCCCACAGAACCCTCCACCAAAACCAAACCAAAACAAAAACCAAACTAGAGAGGGGAAGTAGAGAGAATGGAAGGAAAAACCTTTAGATACACACTAAAAAAAAAAAAAAATTTTTTTTTGGAGACTATGTAGATCAGGTTAGCTTCCAACTCAGAGATCTACCTCTACTGTACTGAGTGATAGGATTAAAGTAGTATGCCCCCAGGCCCAGCATTGATACCCTCTCAAAAGAAAGTTTTTGAAGATAGGTTTGAAATCCTGAAGAAATGTGGAACATATAGTGAAAACAAACAAAACATCAAAACAAGAACACAGCCTGAGACTGTAAATGAAAGAGAAGTCATAGGCCAATCAGGATGAAAAGTACTACTGTGTAATTACTGTAGATATGGAAAAAAGTACCTTAGCTGACTGTGGCGTTGAGAAATTTAGCCAAGCAGGAACAAAGTCATGCTGCGCCATTTAGGTCCAGTGTCTTTTCAACAAGATGAGGCATCAAACCTCATGGCCAGGATCTAAACGAGACAATGTACTTATCACAATATGACACCACTGTGTAAGGGGGCCTGAGACTATCTACAAACTACTTTTAATATTTTAAATCTCAGAGTTCTAAACAAAAGCAATGGTCTCTTATTTCATATGAACATGAAAACATACAAATATAGGAAAATATGATGGAAGTCTGGAAGATTATATGAAAGAAGCAAATGCGTTCTTGAATTCATCCCAATATCTTTGAAGTAAAAAAAAAAAAAAACCTACTTAAAAAGTTACAGTGGATATCTATTAAAAGAGATTAGTCTGCTTTAGGTATTGCATAACTTTCGGCAAAAGCAGTAGAAAAGATCTTTCTAGAAAAGGGAAATACCACTCAAGAGTTTCCATTTAGCTCACAATCATTTCCTCAAAAATCAATTTCTATCAGTTTTCTTGAGCGATCCACTGGTGTACCTTACCCAAATCATCCCATCAATATTCTCCAAAATTAAATACTGTAGAAGGCAACATATTTTTTTTTCATAGCATGCATGCATGCATGCATACATACATACATACATTCAATTTTCTTCCAAAGTTAAGACATGTATAATATTTACCCCCAGAGTGTCACCTCTGTGGTCCTGTTCCCCGAGTCTGCCAGCTGGATCTTCTATGAGATTTTCTGGTGAAAGGGTGCTTAAGTAGCCTGGCCAGCAGCACGCCTTTTGATGAAGCACAAAGAAGCCCAGCTCTGTGTGGCTCACTCTCTTAATCCTCAATTGCTCATCCTGAACTACCTAGTTTCTGACACCTTTCCAAAGGGGGGGAAGGGGAAAGGGGAAGGGGGAAGGGGAACATAAAAAGTTATTTGTTACATTTAAAAAAGGGGGGGGAAAGGGGAAAAAGTTATGTCTATGTTCACCTCATTCAACTTCCTTGAGTAATGGCACTATGATCTTGCTTAAATAAGTAATACATGGACATTTGCACAATGAGTGCAAATACTGTTCATAACAAGGTCATAGCTAGAAGACAGATGGTTTCAGGTGTGGACAAGAAATGTCATCAAGGTGATAAGATCAAAAGTAGAATAGTAAAGCACTATAAAAGATCTTTTGTGGCAAAACATTCACAACAAAAGCCTTTAGAACAAAAATCTCATTATCTTATACAACTGCTTAAAACAGTGTGTGGATATATGTTTATATTTGTTTTAACCTTAAAAATCTAAAGACATAAGAAATCT